TCCACACACAGCAAGTATTTTCTCCTTGCAGGGAACTTCAATATGGAGCTTCTCATTTGCTTTGCTTTCTCCTGGAAGCAGCTGTGCCCTGGGTTTTCCTGGGTTAAGTTAAGACAACATAGTAAAGGACAAGGCAGAAGCAGGTGTTATAGGGAGAATGGACTACAGCAAATAGAATCTCTAAGTATGTTGGGTGTACCTTGAAGGATGCCTACAAACTCCCACATAGGCAAGTTCTATTCATGTTATAGGTATGCTTTCTAGTCGTCGTCGTCGTCGTCGTCGTCGTCGTCGTCGTCGTCGTCGTCGTCAGGATAGTGAAATCCGTATGTTTTCATCAGTTGTAGTCAGCAAAGAACACAGACTATTTAAAAACACATTAAATATCAGAGCAATAAAAGATCTTGTCATTTAGCCTTCTTATTTAAAGACCAGGAAGGTAAATGTCTAGTGAAGAAAGGCTGGCACAGAGTCACACAGTGAATGATTGAAACTGAACTCAACTTGCCCAACTTCCACTGTGTAACCAAGCCATCTTCTGAAGTTTACATCAGCTTTTCTTTAGCTTCGTCTGTCTTCAGTGTGCACTTTTTATTTTTCTTCATGGTTTCAGTACTATGTGAGGTTAGCACAATTTTCTAAAAGGGCTGTATTTTTCTTTTTAGTTTAGTTTTTTAATTGGAAATAGATTCTTCTCTCATATAATATATCCCAAACAGTTATAAACACAGCTTTCTGGTCCTCTCTCTGTCATACTATCTGGGTAGTGCTCCCATGGAAGTTTTTTCTTATTGTAATCCTAGCTCTAATTACCACCAAGGAAGGGAAAAGCTTTTGTAGCCATAGTTTCTCCAAGAATTGGTTCTTGGGCTAGGAATATGGTTCAGTGGGTAAGAGCACTTGCTTCACAAGCATGGTGACCAGAGTTTGAATCCTCAGCATCCATGTAAAAATCCAGGTGTGACCATATACAGCACTGTTGTGGGTGGAGGTTGGAGGATCTCTGTGGCTTGCTGGTTGCCAGCCTAATTCCAGTTTGAGAGAGAGAGATTCTGTTTCAAGGGGATAAGGCAAAGAATGATAGAACAGGACATCTAACGTCCTTTGACCTACATGTATGTTTATGGTATATGCACCAAAACACATGCGTATACATAGCACACACATACACCCACACAAAGTAGTCTCTCTCTCTCTCTCTCTCTCTCTCTCTCTCTCTCTCTCTC